ATCTACACTATCAAGTTTTGTTGATAAAAGTGATGTTGACACTCAAAGATTGGCATAATAAAAATCGGAATGTCATGTTCACACTCGCTCTCTTTGTCAGCAGAGTGTATCCACAGTTAGGGCACTATCATCGACAGTGTGAGCAATGCACTGTGGGTACCTATCCCACAGTTCAGTTCGACACCTTCTGTCGCTAGGTGTTGTGGGAAGGCAGAGCAGATTGCAGCGCATCGTGGGACCAGGCGCAATGTCCCACAATGCATTGCTTTCAGTCCCAGGACTCCATGGGCTTCCAGCTTTCTTTCGTGGCATTTTTCAATGGCCCTTCTTTGCTGTGCATCCCAGCATCTTTGTGAGAAGGATGGATCCTGCACTGCTGTCCTATGCTCTGTTACTGTCATGAAGACATCGCAGATGGCAATGCAGTTAATCGCGAAGTTCCTAAGTGAAGAAGACTCCCAGTCGCCTGACATGCTGTGGGATATGGATAGGAGCAACTTTTGATTGCCTTTGGCATTCACTGAACAGCTGCAGAGGGTGGACCGTCGCTTTTGGACTGGTGAAAGAAGCACTAAATGGTGGGATCATATCATCATGCAGGTCTGGGATGACGAGCAATGGCTACAGAACTTTCAAATGCGGAAAGCTACCTTTCTGGAACTCTGTGTGGAGCTCGCCCCAGCACTGCGGCACAAGGATACCAGAATGAGAGCTGCCCTATCAGTAGAGAAGTGTATGGCAATTGATGCATGGAAGCTGGCAACTCTAGACTGCTACCGGTCGCTCGTGAATCAATTTGGAGTCGGGAAGTCGACCATTGGGGCTGCGTTAAAGTGTGCAGGGCAATTAATCGCATCCTGCTACAAAGGACCGTGACTCTGGGAAATGTGTGTGAAATAGAGGATGGCTTTGCTGAAATGGGTTTCCCTAACTGTGGAGGGGCGATAGATGGCACACATATTCCAATTTTGGCACCAGACCACCTTGCAACAGAGTACATCAATAGGAAGGGGTACTTCTCCATGGTGTTGCAGGCACTTGTGGATCACCTTGGGAGTTTCACTGACATCAATGCGGGGTGGTCCGGGAAGGTGCATGACACACACATCTTCAGGAACACCGGCCTGTATAGAAAGCTACAAGCGGGGACTTTCTTTCCAAACCAGAAGATTACAGTGGAGGATGTTGAAATGTCCATCATAATCCTGGGAAACCCGGTGTACCCCTTTCAGCCATGGCTCATGACACCTTGCTCTGGAAACCTGGACAGCAGTAAGGAGCGGTTCAACAACAGGCTGAATAGGTGCCAGATGACAGTGGAATGTGCCTTTGGCAGATTAAAGGCGTGCTGGCAATGCCTTTATGGCAGGTTAGACCTTAATGAGGATAATATTCCCATGGTCATAGCCTCATGTTGTATGTTGCATAATCTTTGTGAAGCTAAGGATGAAAGGTTTGCACAGGGGTGGAGTGTTGAGGCAGACTGCTTGGCTGCTGATTTTGAGTAGCCAGATACCAGGGCTATCAAAGGAGCACAGAGGGGGGCAGTTCGAATCAGGGAGGCTTTGAGGCAACACTTTGAAAATGAGAACCAGTAATGTATATCTCTGTGATTGGTGCTGCAATGTTACATTACATGTAGTTTTCCTAGGAAGTAATGGTGACATTTGGGGCCTTACATTCCAGCAAGCACATGAATAAACTGCCTGTGTATGTATTGGCAGTGCCTACTATCTCTGTTTGTAGAAAACAAATAAAGATGAGTTACTATTCAAAAATTTTGTTATTATTGCACAAAAAACCGCACACACAAACACAGAAACACACAAAGATGCTTGGTAGGAAAGGAGGTACCAGGGAAGGGCAGACTTTCAGAGCTGCGTGTAGGTCCAGCTATCATTATGAAAGTTGTCCGAGGGGGTGGAGTGAAGGGGAAACCTAGAAGTCGCAGAAAGTGGAAAGGACTGTGCAGGCAGAGTTGGGATAGAGGGGGACATGGAAAAGAATTCTGAATGTGCTGCAGGGGAGGGTGGGCATGGATCTGCTTGGTCTGCAGCATTATTAAGGACTTCAGCATTTGCGTTTGCTCCTCCATTACTTTAATCACCCGCTCAGTAGCGTCCTTAACAAACTCCTGGTTTTCTTTTCTGTCCTGCCTTTCAGCTTCCCAGTACTCCTTGCATTCCCTTTTCTCTGCATTGAAGGAGTGCAGTACCTCCCGGAACATGTCTTCTTTGCTCTGTCTTGGGCGCTTTCTTATCTGGCAGAGATGCTTGGCCAGTGTGTGCGGGTGTTTCTGAAGGCCACATCTGCCGAAGCCCAAGGAACAATGCACAGAAGCATGATTGTTAAATTCACGCACAGCATTGAAACATTTCAGTAAAATACACCCTTTGCAACATAACAATCACTTTCTCACTGACCCTGGGCAAGCACACAGCTCTGCGAACACCCAAAGCATGGTGAGTGTTGGCAGGTGGGAGGGGGCTCCATATGGGGAAAAGAGCACTCACTCTGCAAGGAACTGGGGGAAAAGTTCTAAAATTCTCCCACACTTTTCTAGAGGCAGGGGTCATATTAGAAGACATCTCATGGCTAAGGGTAAGCAGGGAAACGAAGGTACATCTACTACATGCTTCTGGCTTCCACCCTGCTCCCTATGCTGCTCACTTGTGTGCCGCTTTGATCCCCGCACAAGTAATTGCCGAATGGCGCAGGAAAGTTTCCTACAATGGGGGAAGGAACAAAGCTGCTCTGCCAAGGAACCTTAAGCAGAGGATTTCCGAGTACCTCCAGGAAACTTTCCTGGAGATCTCACTGGAGGATTCCCATGAGATCTTGACATGCATTAACACCCTGTTCTGCCATACTGATTAGCTACATAGGGAAATGTCCAGCTCACAGAAACACAGCCAGCCTTCCACATTTCTATATCCTGAACCCATCTCCACACTACACAAACCACGGGCACTTACCAGGTGTCTCCTCTCCTGCTTCTTGCTTACCGGAGAGTAACTGCTGAGACTGGTTAGACACCTCTGGAGTGGTGAACAGTTCCTGGCTGCCTGCCGCACCGGGAGCTCCACATCATCTAACTCTACCTCTTCATCAATGACTTCGTCCT